TAATTGTCTATTTTGGGTTCAACTATTTAATGGTGGCATATTATCACATATGACAAACTGTCCCAGATCAATTATTGACAGCCTAGATGATGTTGTCAATTCAAATTTAGATGTAATGCTTATCAAAACTAGTATCAGCTATCATGGATATTTAAATGTAAGCAAGTTAAAATTAAACATTAAATATTAAATTATATTAAAAGTTATATAAAATTTGTTAATAATTTTTTTAAATATTACTAAATGCTAATTTAAGATTTTAATTTTAGATAAAATATCCACATTTAAAATATAAATTTATTACACTAACCGATCTTGATCGATTAAATCTATACGATCCAATTGTCCAGGGTTAATCAGTACTTATTTTAAGTGATAGATTAATGGATCAGTTATTATCGACTACCATGAAACCAGCAAACATATATAAATCTAAACAAAATTCAATGTTTGGTATTGGTGGTATATTTGTACGTAGATCATTTAATAATACAAGTATCAAGATCAAATTTAAACAAAAGTAGATATTTAAAAAAAATTTTTTTTTAATAATTACATATATCTTATTTTTATAATTATTATTATTATTAGATTTGCTTCCATATATGAATCGGGTATTGTAACAAGGACAGTTAATATTAATAAACTAATGCAACGTACAATACAGTTATCAATGTTAATTAATAACAATACTATATATAATATTACAACTAATGCTAATTCAAATTATAATAAACAAAGCAATAATTTTGATAATTTAGTTAATAGTTTAAAACTTAATGATATAAAAATTATTTTCTATTTTATATGCATTGGATTATTTTTAACACTAATTGTCTATTTATTTGAAGTTATTATTTTTTATAGTTATCTATAAAAATAAATTTTATAAAGACACTAAAATTAATAAAGAATTAAACATTTTAATAACTATAAGTTTTTAATTGATTTTTACAATTATTTAAAATTATAAAAAATGCTATAATAATTATTTTGATATTATTTTATTATATTAATATAATTGTTATGTTATTATTAATATGATATATACTAAACATGTTTACAAATTACTATATTATACTATAGTATTGATTATATTTTTTATAAGTTTATGTCAATTAAGACAAAGCAATAATATAACACATAATAAGTTTATGTACACATGATTTATAGATATTATATATATATATAATTTAGGTTAATATAGTTAATTAACAATTATTTATGATAATATTATAATTTTATGAATAATATTATTGATTACAGTTACAAATGAAAACATAGTAATACTATAGATTAATATTTTATACATACATTTTTTTGTTAATATATACAGTTATAGTTTTTAACAATGAATTTAATTATAATTTTATAAGTTAATTAAATTAAATATTCAACATATATATTTATTTAAATTATTTCTTTTAGTTTATCAATAATTTGTTGTTTAATATTAAGTTTATTTTGTATATATTGTTGAATTGTATAATAGATTAAACATAAAATACTAATATACAATACTAATACACATTTGACAATAGTATTATCTGATAATATAGTAAATACTAGGGCTGTTATAATAAATATTATATACATTACTAGATTAAAATATTGAATACAATTTATATATTTATTTAGACTTTTAGTATCCATTTCAAAATCATTGATACATAATCTGATGGATTTAGAAAAATAATTGTTTGGTATAACTATTGTTGTTGTTTTATCGATAGATAGTTTCAAACGTTTGTACATTGACTGTAATATTGATGAATATTTACCGATAATATCCAATTGCATTAATTGTATATATAGTTGCCAATACAATGTATAATATATACTAAATATACCATGATGACTAAATAATAATAGTTGACTATTTTTTAGCATATGTCGATTAGTGTCAAAAATGCGATTATCCACATAGATTAGTAGTAAATAAATTAAATATAATACACAAATTAATATTATGAAAACATAGGATAATTTATTTGAATTTTTAATTGAATATTTCTGTAGAAATTTATCAATTTCTAAATAAATTTTAGCAATTGTCGAAATATTAGATTTTATATAAATAAATGATATGAATGTTTCCAATTGAACTAATAAAGTAACTAATTTAATAAATTTTTCTAATAAATTTAATTGAAATAATTCAATCATTACGGATATCAATGTCGATAATATTAGTATAGTATATGTTGTCAATGCTAGTCCAGTAAATATATTAATTATGTTTTTATTATCACTAAACAAACCATACGAGTGGCCAATAGTTTTAAACATTTTTATATTTTATAAAAAAAAATAATTAGTTGTTATACTGTAATAACTATTGATATATTGATATTATTATTGTTGTTTCAATATAACCTAAAAACTCAACTTTTTATTATATGCTACTTAAAGTATATAATTTTATAAAAATATCTAAATTTTGTTTAACTATGCTTACATGCGCGCAACAATTTATACTATCTTTACATTTATCTTACATAATAACTAATGTATTGATTTTTATTTATTATTGTGTAAAAAACATAAAGTTATATATATATATATAACCAAACTATCGTAAAATTTATACTTTTGAATTGAATTCAATTTATACTGTTATATAATTCAGGTAATATATATATATATATATATATAATATAAAAAATAAATTGGATTTTATTTTCTCATCTATATATTCATTTTTTATTAGATAAATAGTTAGCTTTTATATTATAAATTATTACTAACACTTCAATAAACACCGATAAAATAATAATATTTTATTTGTAAATAATTTTTTTTATGAATTTCTAAATATCATAATAACTTTCAATGTCTTAACTACTGTACAATAAAAATATATAATAATTATTAAATATAAAATTTTTTTTTATTTATTATTATTAATTGTAAAAAAATTCACAACATTTTTTATATCATTCATATAAAATATAATATAATTATTATTATTATTTTCTATATTTATACAAATGTATAGACTTATGTTTATTATATATAAAATTTATATTATAAATATTATAAATACTGTCATTAATTTACACACACATATATATAGAGTATATATTATATTAAAGTTATTTTTATGACATATAAATTATTTAAATTAAAAAAAATAAAATAAGTTAGCTGTTTTAAATTATTATATTTTTTATTATCATAAAGTTATAAATAATTTTAGTTAAAATCTATATCAATTTAATGTTATATATAAAGATTATATTTTAAATTAAATAAAATAATGATTTAAAAAATTTAATTTGAAAAATAATTTAAGTTTTTATTACTAAAAACTGTATTAACAAAAATTTAATAAAATATTTTGAATTTTGTTATTTACTTTTTTATTATTATTAAAAAAACTTATAGTTAATATGATTAAAATAATTTTAGTATCAATTAATTATATATATATATATTTTTAATTTACATACATGTTTATTTTTAGATTATTGTTGAACTGATTTAAATATTATAAATTAATTGCCTAAGACAACCTTGATCATAGTTATTAGTAATAGGATCTAACTAAACATTTATAAATAGCTATTTTATATACATTTATATAAATAATAGTTTTATTTTTTATACTTAAAATATAATACGATAGTTTTTATAAATATTATTTTTTCATTATTAACAATAATATAATAAATACAAAATTTTATTTTAAAAAATTTGATATAAAAGGATACTTATCATGAACTATTTAATGTTATATTATCTAGGGCATTTATTTATCTATAGTTGAAAAAAATAATAATGTTACATAATATTTAATCCAGATAATGTAAATTTGATACATGATTTCATAATTTAAATATATTTTAAAATTTAATTGAAAAAAAGTTTCGTAATAATAATAATTTTAAATGTATTTATATATTTATTTTCAATTTTGTTGTCTCATTGAGAGCTTATTTAGCTGAGATCATATGGTATGAGAAATATATTTTTAGATATTTTTTTAAGTAAAAAAACTACCTTTTTTTTCTTTAAAAAATATGATTATCTAAATATTTTATTTCTATATAATTCAATACACTATCCGAAAATAAGCTTAATGTTTAAAACTATAAAGATTATTGATAAACTAATCCCAATATAAACTTTATTAAATAACATTTAATTATTATAGGATAATAATAATTGTAATGTACAGTAATGTAGTTGAAAAAAATTATAGTAGCATTATTTATTGTTATTAGTTAGTTATTAGAAATGTTCTTGATACTTTATTGTATTTAATACTAAATATTTATATTGTTTATTGATTATAATTAAAAATGTTTAACTTAAATAAATAAAAAAAAATTAATTTTACTATTTTACTTTAGTAAATAAGTAATAGTAAAATATTTTATTCTATAATAGCTTTTAAATTAATAGTAAATATATTTTTTTTCTATTGTATAATATATTTATCTTTTTCTATGATATTAATTAATTAAATCCCTACTAATGATATATATATTTATATATAATATTATTTTATTGTAAACAAATCTATTAATAATTAATTACTATTATTTATAATACAGTATAAAAATAACGTTTACTAAACGATTTTATTATCAACAACAAAAAATCATTAAAAAAATTGTTTTTTTTTGTATTACAATCCATATCATACAAAGTTATATATTTCAATACAATATATGTTTTTAATATTTATGTTATTTTAACATTTATTAATCGTATTATTTGTCTAGAAATAACCTTGAAAAATAATATATATAATAGATAGGTAAATAAATAGGCTATATAAACTAATATAAAAATAATGCTAACAATATATTTTGAATAAGACATATTAAGAAAATAATTTATTTAACAAATACTTAAAAAAAATTATAAATTTATTTTTCATTAATATATTAGTAAAATACTTATATATATAATTTTAATTATTTATTTTTTCTTAATTAATTAATTTATTTATTTATAAAAAAAACATGATAACATATTTGTTTGAATTTTTATATGACTACCGGGTCATAACCGGTACACTACTTATAATATTATTATATACTATTTACAGGTAAATACTAACTTTAATTTTTTTTTAGAAAATTAAATTTCAAAATTATTTGCATATTTTAATTAATTTAATTAATAATTTACTATTTTTTTAATTTAATAATTATATAGTTATATTAGATGCCGCCAAACAGGGCCCGATTATTGGCAAAAACAGGGCGTCAAAAGTGTCCAGGTCAGTTTGTGGTCAAAATTTACGAAAAAATGGTCAGACCTGGAACTGGATCTGTATCGGCAAAATGGTCGCCTATTTGGTGTCCATGAACTTCAGCGGCCAGTATTGTTTGTCGGCGAACCCGAACTCATACGCGATATACTGGTCAAAGATTTTCATATATTCAATGCCCGTCGAGACTTTCGGACCGGTTCTAACCCGTTGTTCGACAATCAGCTAACGTTTGTCGACTATCACGACTGGCAACGGATCCGCTACGCAATGTCACCGACCTTTTCGACGGGAAAACTCCGAGGAATGATGCCTATGATCCGAGACTGTGTCCACCGAATGGACAGAAATTTACGTAAAATTGCCGACAATGGTGTCGACGACTCGGATCTCAAACTGGTGTTCGGCGCCTACAGTATGGAAGTCATATGTCAGGTGGCTTTCGGTGTCCGAGTGGACGCACTGAACGATCCGACCAATCCGTTAATAGCCTGTTCTCGGCGTATATTTCGACGTAAATTCAATCCGAAAGCGATTATCATATTCTTGATGCCAGTATTGGCCAAAGTATTTAAGTATACGTTCATCGATGACGATGTGTCCGATGTTTTCCAACAGTTTGCCCGAAAACTAATCGATGAACGACAGCAACAAAACTCGATGACCACTATCACCGCCGACGGCGCCGGCAAACGGCTAGACTTTTTGCAGATTATGTTGGACTCGACCGATGATTCAGTGGTGAAACTTACGGCCAAAGACATAGAGGAAGATATTGGCGAAGATTTGAAAAGTGAAAATAATAGCGAAAAATATCGAGAATTTGATGGAAAGTTTGAGAAAAGTTAGTCACAAAAAAATAGTTTGAAAATATTACTGTAGTATCTAATTGTTAAATAATAATAATTTTTTAATTACAGAGATAACCACCGATGAACTGGTATCCCAGTGTATGTTATTCCTGTTGGCCGCCTACGAGACCACTGCCAGTACCGTATCGTTCATACTGTACAATCTGGCCAACAATCCCGAGTGTCAACAAAAATTATACAATGAAATTGCCGACTACTACAGGCAACATGTAATTAATTAATTAATTAACTAGTTTTATAACAATAGGGACAGTAATCTAAAAAATGTTGTCTACTATTATTATTATTATTGTTTGTTTTATAGGCTGATCTCGACTATGACAGCCTAAACTCGTTGAACTACTTGGACGCTGTCATCAAAGAGACCAAACGTTACAACTCGGTGGCCCTGTTTCTGGAGCGTACGGCCAGCCAGGACTATACTACCCGGCCATTGACTGGAGGCGGTACCGGTATTCGCATACGCAAAGGTGACCTAGTTCATATACCATTGTACGCCATACACCGAGATCCGGATCATTTTGCCGATCCCGACCAATTTAAACCGGATCGTTTTATGCCGGGCAATTTAAACCATCATCCGTACGCCTATCTGCCGTTTGGTGCCGGTCCACGAGCCTGTATTGGTCGCCGATTGGCGCTTATGGAGCTCAAGATGGCTGTCCAGCACGCCGTATATAACTATAGATTTTTTCCCAGCAATGTATGTATAAACTGTATCAATAGTTTTTTGTTTAATTGTTGGTTATATTGATTGTGTGTTTTTGTTTTGTTAATTAATTTTTTTTATTACTTTTATTTAAATAATTATTTATTATTATTTAACAGAAACCAATAGAGTATACCTTTGGTGGCGCACAGATAGTACCGAAAGAGATATACCTGAGAGTAGAGAAACGATAATTAAGTTTTTTAAAAGTTTTTTTTTTGATTATTATTTTTCTAACTATTATAAACCACTTTTTTACAAAATAATATGTTAATTATTTTTAGTATTATGACTTTATTGTAAATAATTGTGCAATTGTTTTGGTTATTTTTTTTAATATGGTTAATACTGTTTAATAAATATATATTTTTTAATTGCTAATGTAATTTATTGTCTATGATTTTTTAAAGACAGTATATACTTGTATATATAAATTATTTAAATTAAGTTTAAATTTTTAATTACTATAAAATTGAATTCATTTTTTTCTAATAATTTTATTTTTAATAATATAGTTATTGTCAAAATAGTTTGTTTTTTTTAAAAAAAAACTTAGTTTTTCATATTTGCTTTTAAAAATACAAAATCACTTTTTAATTATATTGTATTATACCATTTAACATACTTTTTATAATTATTATCATATTATATATTTATAAAAAAAACAATAATTATTTCAACATTATTACAACAACAATATTATTTTTAACATCAAAAAACAAAATATTATTATCAATATATAACTAATTAAAATTAATTAAATGGTTGAATAAATTTAAGTCATAAAAATATTGAATTTTTTTTTAAAAAAAAAATAATAAAATAAAACTAAAATTTTATATCTAAATTTGTTTATAATTTCCATGGAAATAGTAAACATTTTTATAAAAATAGATGTAATATAAACACATTTTTTTCAAATAAAATCATAATTTTTTTTGTTTGTGTTTTTGTTTCTATTATCAAATCTGTTAGCGATTTAACCACAAGAAGTCAATCATCACTTGTTGTTGTTGTTGTCATTGTTTAGACACAACAACTTCTTTACTATTGAATTGATTTAAAACAAAAATATTAAAATAATTATTTTTATTGTTTATTTATAGCCCAGATATTATAATACCAATTGGTATTAATAACAATAAGTATCACTTTGGAAGTGATGGCAAACAACATCAACAACAATAAGTCATCATTTGATCGTTTCGGCGATGATTTGGCAGAACTTATCTTAAGATATCTATCACTTGAAGAACAGTTGCGTTTAGAGTGTGTATCCAAACAGTTCCAGTCGTTGGGTATTCAAAGACAAACTAATCTCTCATACGATTCCAAATTAAAGATGAATCTAATGAGCAAAAGTCTAATGAAAAAGATGTTCTTCGACAGCAATAAATGGTTATCACTGATGAAGAAGTGTCCAAATATTCAAACGGTTACTATCTATACGATTAATGGCCAACAGTCACACGTTTTGCAATCTATGAATCGGTTGCGTACACTTTGGCCACAATTGCGGCGAATTGATTGCAGTGTCCAACATATGACCGACGATGAGATACAATATTTATGTAAATGGTTTCCCGAAATGATTAGAAAATTAACTAATAGTTACAAACAAATGAAGTCATTAAAACCATACCTGTCATCGATGGTCAATCTTAGAGATCTATCAACAAACAGAATAAGTGAAACCAATTGGTTGTTAAAGGTTTGCATCGATTCAGTTGTTGGTTGTCTGCAAATATGGATAATCGGTTTGTGGTGTTTATCGATAGCAACAATGATCTCAAGTTTTTGTTATTGAATGTAAAAATTTACGACAAAGAATCGGTTAGTCCTGTGTTGTCACTTATCGGACGATTACGACGACTGCAACAATTGGTTTTGACGTTCGGATTATTAGATAATCCAATTGTCAACTACTCGATAGCCCAGCCATTGGTGACAATTGCCAATAGTTGTCGGCTACTAAAGTCATTTAAATTAAGGTTAAGAGTCGATTCATTGACTAATTATTTGGAGACATACAGTGCCGTCAAACACATGACTCAATTAAAACGATTAGATATGTCTTTGTCTTTTGTTAACAACAATAATCAAGTGATTGATTCCACTTTGTATTCATCACTACAACCGTTCAACTGTTGGCCACAATTAACACATTTGACACTCAACTTATCGCATATGGATTACCAATTGTTTACCGATTTAGACCGAAATCTACCGAAACTTGAATACCTAACAATTTTTGATATATACAGTATATTGGACGGCATATGTATGTCATATATATCGAGACTGTCATCACTGATGAAACTATCGATAACTTCATATCAAGACTTTCTGGTGAGTGAATCGGATGTACAACAAGTGATCAACGGTTGTCGTAAATTGATTAATCTTAGTATTTATGTCCAAAACTTTGACCACATATATAGTAAATCATTTGACGATAAAATGATTCATTCATTGAGAAGATTATAGTTATAATATTAATGTAAGACAATAACTGTTTGAAATAATTGCCAGAAATTTATTTATTGATTTTTGTATTTTATTCATTGTTTCTCTAAATTATATTTACCGGTAATTATTATAATACAGAAACTATATTCAATTGTTTTAAATTTTCGTTTCTATTATCATTACTAAATATTTTCTATTACAGGTTACTATTATCTTAAATAACTTACTATTATTATAATTACCAAAAATCTATAATTTAATTTTTTTTACAAATTATTTCGTATAAAACAATAATAAAATAAATATGAATAAATTGTTACACTAAATAATTTATAATAATAATATTTTTATTTATAATTTATTACATTTAAACTAACTTGATAAGTTAGTTAAATAGAAACTAAAAATTATATTTTATTTTACTAAAAATTATATTTTATTTTACTAAAATTTATTATTATTATTATTATCAATTCATTAATTAATTAATAATTAGTTATAATTATCTCTATTCAGTACTATTTATTAGTTAAATCAATAAATTTTATGTTTAAATAAAATAATTAATTGAATGAATGAATGAATGAATACATTGAACGATATATTCAACACATTATTATTGGAAAACAAATTACATGTCATTTGAATAATAAATTGCATTCCATTTGTGACACAAAATACAAAACCAATTGTTTTGTAATAATAATAATATAAACACATTATCTGTTAGTAGTTTTTTTTGGACATCAAAAGTATCACTCAATCGGTTCCAATAACAACACTAACATTACTACTGATTTTTTATCATTTGTTTATAACAATTGATGACAACACTATAGTGGATCACTAATGATGGCAAACAACAACAACAACAATATGTCATCATTTGATCGGTTCGGCGATGATTTGGCGGCACTTATACTAACATATCTGCCATTTGAAGATCAGCTTCGCTTAGAGTGTGTCTCCAAACAGTTCCAGTCGTCGGGTATTCAAAGACAAACTAACATCTCATACGATGCCAAATCAAAGTTGAATCTAATGAGCAAAAGTTTGATGAAAAAGAAGTACTTCGACAGCAATAAATGGTTATCACTGATGAAGAAGTGTCCAAATATTCAAACTGTTACTATCTATACGATTAATGGCCAACAGTCAGACGTTTTGCAATCTATGTATCGGTTGCGTACACTTTGGCCACAATTGCGGCGAATTGATTGCAGTCTTTAACATATGACCGACGATGAGATAAAATTGTTGTGTAAATGGTTTCCCGAAATGATTAGAAATTTATATAATTATTGCAAACAAATCAAGTCATTAAAACCATACCTGTCATCGATGGCCAATCTTAGAGATCTATCAACAAACAGAATAAGTGAAGCATTTATTGGCAACCAATTGGTTGTTAAAGGTTTGCATCGATTCAGTTGCTGTTTGTCTGCAAATATGAAGAATCAGTTTACGGTGTTTATCGATGGCAACAATGATCTCAAGTTTCTGTTATTGAATGTAATAATTTATGACAAAGAATCGGTTAGTACTTTGTTGTCACTTATCGGACGATTACGACGACTGCAAGAATTGGTTTTGGCGTTCGGATCATCAGATAATTCAATTGTCAACTACTCGATAGCCCAGCCATTGGTGACAATTGTTAACAGTTGTCGACAACTAAAGTCATTTAAATTACAGATGAATGTGGATTCGTTCACCACTTATATGGAGACATACAGTGCCGTCAAACACATTAAACAATTGAAACGATTACATATGCATTTGACTATAGCTAACAATAATCAAGTGATTGATTCCACATTGTATTCATCACTACAACCGGTCAACTGTTGGCCACAAATGACACATTTGACACTCAACTTATCGCATATGGATTTCCAATTGTTTACCGATTTAGACCGAAATCTACCGAAACTTCAATACCTAACCATTTGTGATCCATTGGGTGTTTGTGATGGTATTTTTATGTCATATATATCGAGACTGTCATCACTGATAAAACTAACTATTAGTACAACTGAAAAATTTCTGATGAGTGAATCGGATGTACGACAAGTGATCAACGGTTGTCGTAAATTAAATTTTCTTAGCATTTATGTCCAACACTGTCACCACAAATATAGTAAATCATATAACGATAAAATGATTCATTCATTTAGAAGATTGTAATTATATATTAATGTAAGACAATAATTGTTTTGAAATAATTGCCAGAAATTCATTATTTTAATTTTTATGTAATAACTTTAATCTATTTTATTCATTGTTTCTCTAAATAATATTTACCGGTAATTATTATATTACAGAAACTATATTCAATTGTTTTAAATTTTCATTTCTATTATCATTATTACTAAATATTTTGTATTACATGTAACTATAATTTTTAAATAACTTACTATTATTATTATAATTACCAAAAAAACTGATTTAATTTTGTACTAATTATTTGTGTTTAAAACAGTAATAATAATATTTGTATTTAATTTTTATGACAATTAAACTAACTTGATAAGTTAGTAAAATAAAAACTAAAAAATTATATTAATTAACGTAGTTTATAAAATTAATAACTAATAAATTTTAATGTTTTATTATTATCTATTAATTAATTAATTATAATTTTATCAATCAATCAATTTTATGATTAAATTAAATAATTAATTGAATTAATGAATGAATGAATGCATTGAACGATATATTCAACACATTATTATTGGACAACAAATTACATGTCATTTGAATAATAAATTGCATTCTATTTGTGACACAAAATACAAAACCAATTGTTTTGTATTAATAATAATAATATAAACACATTATCTGTTAGTAGTTTTTTTGGACATCAAAAGTATCACTCAATCGGTTCCAATAACAACACTAACATTACTAATGATTTTTATCATTTGTTTACAGCAATTGATGACAACACTATTGGATCACTAATGATGACAAACAACAACAACAATATGTCATCATTTGATCGCTTTGGTGATGATTTGGCGGCACTTATACTAACATATCTGCCATTTGAAGATCAGCTTCGCTTAGAGTGTGTCTCCAAACAGTTCCAGTCGTGTGGTATTCAACGGCAAACTAGCATTACATCCGATGTCAGAACAAAAATGAAATTCATTAGCAAAAGTCTGACGAAAAAGAAGTACTTCGACAACAATAAGTGGTTATCACTGATGAAGAGGTGTCCAAATGTTCAGTCTGTAGACATGTCGTGGATTGCAGGCCAAGAGTTGTCAGTTTTGCGAGCTATACATCGGTTGCGTACAATTTGGCCACAATTGCGCCGAATTGACTGCAATATTGACGATCTGTTTGACGGCAAAGATATTCAGTTTTTGTGTAAAGAGTTTCCCGAAATGATTAGTAAAATAGATATTAACAATAGTAATAGGATATCGTTTTATGATAAATCATTGAAACCATATCTGCCATCGATGACCAATCTTCGACATCTGTTCACTAATCTAATAGACCAAACGTTTATCGGCAAACAATTAGTGGTCACTGGTTTACATGGATTCAGTTGCCATTTGTCTGACAATATGGAGTCAAGATTTGCATTGTTTATCAATGATAACCGTCATCTCAAGTATTTGTCACTTAAGTACAAAAAACAAATTGTTTACAACAAGAACTCGATGAATACTGTGTTGTCAATCGTCGGTCAATTTAAACAACTGAAACAATTGGATCTGAGTTTCAAACAATTGTTTGATTACTCAATAAGAAAACCATTGATAACTATTGCCTACTGTTGTCTGCCGTTAAAGTCATTTAAATTACATATGAAAGTGGATTCAGTCAACACTTATATGGAGACATACAGTGCCGTCAAACACATGAATCAATTGAAACGATTAGATCTTAAGTTGACATTAGATAACAATAATCAAATGATTGATCGTTCACTGTATGCATCGCTACAACCGGTCGACTGTTGGCCACAATTGACACATTTGAAACTCAACTTATCGCATATGGACTACCAATTGTTTACCGATTTAGACCGAAATCTACCGAAACTTCAATACCTAACCATTTGTGATCCATTGGGTGTTTGTGATGGTATTTTTATGTCATATATATCGAGACTGTCATCACTGATAAAACTAACTATCAGTACAACTAAACACTTATCGATAAGTGAGTCGGATGTTCACCGTGTGATCAATGGATGTCTGAAATTGATTTTTATTAGCATTTCAGTTACCATTTGTCGCAAAAATAGTTTCATATATAACGAGAAATTAGTTCAGTCATTGAGGACGACATCGTTGTTATAAAAAAAAAATATTTGATTGACAATTGTTTCAACAATTGTTGGCATAAAATGTCATTTAATTTTTTTTTGTGTTTTTTTTCTACTTTAAATACTTATATTACCAAAAAAATTGTTATTAATTGACATGACATAAGATTATTATTATTATTATTATTATTACTAAACATTTTGTCATTTTTATACATTACAGTCAATATTATTATTTGTAGTACTAGTAATTATTTATTTTATTTTTATTAACTTATACTGTATTCAATTTATATAAAACTTTCTATTTTATTATTATTATTTTTAAAAAATTATTATCATATAATTACTGTATAATTTGTTTTTTAAAAAAAATTCATTATATATAAAATCTGTTTAATATATTTATCTTCTATTTCATTGATAACATTAATTTATTAATATATTTAAAACATTGTTTCTTCTGTTTATATATATATATATATATATATATATATATATATACTGTATATTTATTTGTTAATTAAAAATTGTTTCAATCGCTCATATGATATGATATTAATATTAACTTTATTTATTTATTCAGTTTATTTGATTAGATTTGTTAACTATTTATATAATAATTATATATCATTTTGTTGTTATCATTATTTTTTTTCTATCATTAAAATGTTATAATTTATTAAATACTAAAATTTAGTTGTGATTGATTTATTTATTATCTAAAATATAACTTTAAATTAAAACTAATTACTGTATATATATATATGATATATGAATATTTTTAATAAATTTTATATTTTGTTAAAATAATTATGCATCAAATTATTACATTAAATAATTTATTGTCTATAATTATAATATTTTTATTTAATTTTTATTACATTCAAACAAACTTGATAAGTAAGTAAATTAAAAATAAATATAAATATTTATTTTTATAAAACTATACATAAAATTATAATTAATATATTTTTATTTTTAGATGACTTAGCAAACAATGTTAAGACAAATCAATTGGATATTAGCAATCAATTCGGTAATATTGCGGTAATCAATAACCGCAACAAACGGGACACCACTACTGGTCTTTCAGATGTTCAAATACATGTAGAAGTTAATAATGGTAAACATGAGGACAGGGTAGAGAACAGTCAGGTTAGGAGACATAAAAAGAGACAAAGAAAACGAAAGAGAAAAAAGAGAAAACAGATAACAACTACAACCACTCCTACCACTACTACTACTACTACATTGTTTGGACTGATCTATGCATCTAACAGTTCCCATCAAAATCAACAGTTTGAAACTAATATAAATACTACATATATAGCAAATAGGATAACAACTGCTGTTTGTGGCACAGTTAGTAATTTTACTCAACTACCACCGGTGCAACAATCAGTAGTAGTAGTGGACAGTGGTATCAATAAATCAAAACGTAAGCGTAAAAGAAAACGCAAACGAAAAATCACATCAACTACTACTACTACTACAACAACTACCAGTGCTTACAATATAGATATCAACAACAATACCAACACTAATAGTAATAATAGTATAGTACATGATATCGATGGCCCGACAGCTATGGACAGGGAGTCGATGGCTGGCAATAAAGATAAGAAAAAGCGTCGAAAGAAAAGTAGACGTCGGAAGAGGAAAAAGACTACAACAATCAGTCCTACAATTATTGCAACAAATACTACAAAACTGATTACAAGTTCAATGAAGACGACAACGACGACGACACCACAAACACCACCGAAAAGTACAATGCGGTCAAAGGTCATACATGTAACCGACGGTATGGTTATAATTGATAAACATATTAAAACAACAAATCCAAATAAAATTCATGTCAATTATAATATTACTCAAAATAATGATAATAATAATAATGACATTGTTATCGTATATAGTGGTGATTAAAAAAAATTAGTTTAAAAAAAGTTTATTAAACAAAATTATTTAATAATTTTTTAATTTAAACTAAATTTACATTTTTTGTTTTGTGAATACATATTACTATTTTTTATTAAGATTTTTTTTTGTTAGCAAATAAAAGTTACTATTTTTCCAATACAATGATTGGACAAAAATTAATTATTACTATTTTTTACATTTAATTATAGTTTTTAAAATGTATTTTTATTTGTATGAATTTGAAGTTTATATTCATTAATACAAACTGTAATCTATTAAATAATCATAAATTATAATAAATTAAATTTATTAATAAAATTATTAACTATTGGCCACAATTGACTCATTTGTAACAAAAATTTATACTAAATATTCAAAATTAATTAATAACAGTATTTAACTAAATAATAATAAAAAAAATATTATATATTTACTTACAAACTGGCAATTTATTTTTATTAATTAAATCATAATTATTAGTATTTGTTTAAAGCAACAGTACAAAAATTAATTAATTAATTAAACTAACAAAATATGTATAGCATATTGAAAAATTGATAAATTATTTTATCTAAAATCTAGATATATATATATATATACTGTATATATTATAGAATAATAACAATAATAATGAAATGAAAAGCTGTACTTAATTATCGTAGTTTTAATGTTAATTTTGTAATTAATATAAAATATCGTATGTATAGTACTGTTATCTATTATAAATAAGAAAAAAATAATTCAAATTATTAGATATAATAGAAATAAATAAAAGATTTAATTATTATATTTACATAAAATTTATGTACAATAATTTTTTTTAAATGTTCAAAAGTATTCATGTTATTGTTTTATGATTTTATTTTACAAATAAATTTATGATAATGTTTTTTAAAAACAATTCAAAAATGTTTGTTTTTTAGGAATTTTTTATAATTAACAATATTTAGACAATATTTTTTATTATTATAATATATTATCATTACAGTAGTATAAGTTGACATTATAATAATTTGAAAGTTAATTTTGTTGTCAATATTAGATATCGCACGTATAATACTGTTATCTGTGTTAATGAAAAAAAAATCTTAATATTTTATTTTTTATTAATATTTTATATAATATTTACATAAAATAGTTTAGGAAAAGTCATGACAAACATCGGTCCGACAGTGAAACCAATGATTGTATGTTTTGCCGACAATTTCTCAATGAATGACATCAAAGATAACTTAACACTAGTTTTGCTTATTGTATTGATTTGTATTGATATTAATGTATTTTTAGATAATGTAATAGATTTTGAGACCATTGATGCAAAATATGATATAATAAATATACCAAACCAGGTATAAATTATACATAATATATATACATATTTTAGTAATGAATTAACTTTAGTAAATAAAAATGTTGACAACATTAATAAATTACCCGGTATTAAAAATATTATTATAGTAAAATATATTTTTCGCCAAAATTTGTTAAATAAATTAATTTGTAAACAAATAATATTATGTTCATTAATAATTTTGTTAATCAATATTTTTTGTCTAAATATTTTTGACGGTTTATTAAATTTACTAATTAATTGATTCAATAGCTGACATCTTAATTGAAAATATTGACAAATAATATAAAAATAAGATATTGAAGTCAATATATTTAATAAATTATAATAATTGCTTTGTAATAATAATACAAAACAGGGTATGGATAGTATAAATGTTGATAATGTATAAAATTTCAAACCAATCAATAAATATAAAATCAAAGCTAAGATTACTATAAATAAAGTAAAATTAATAATAAATTTAAAGCAATTATTAGTTTATTATTAATATATAGTAATATATAATTTATTTACCTGTAATGTTAGTTAATACATAAACTATTGTACTAACAATATTTATTTTAGATTTTAGTTGATATATAATTTTTATTTGTTTTTTGCTAATATTTAATTCATAATAATTTTCATTATTTTTGATTATATAAAACAATTTTTTCCAATAATAATTAATAATTGATTTAGATTTTAATATAGTAAACAATAGCCCTAAACAATGTCCATAACAAATACCAATTAAAAATATAAGTAAATTGATTTGTTTAATACCACCGATAAATATAGTATAATCAAATAATAACATAAGTTGTTTGTGATTATAATTGATAAATAATATTGATAATAATTTTATAATGTTAATAAAATTAATAAGTAAGTTTAGATTATTTAAATATATATTTGAATTGTCTATTAAATTAAAATAATTATACATATTAATACAATTACAGGTTAATTGTGAATGAAGATAATAATGTATATACTATATAACACTAACACATTGTAAAACACATAATAAATATAATATATTTTTGGATTATTTGTTTAAAAACTTATTGAAATTTAACTAACAATTTAATTATCTTTAATTATCTAATAAAAGAAAATAATTACTATTCTGACCTTTATTATATTTTACCTTAATTATAATTAATGATAATTAACGCAATAATTAACTATTTTATTTTTTGTAGATTCCTATTAAATAAAATGCTTAACTATAATATATAATTGATAAATACTGTATAAAAATACTGTAAATGATTACATCAATATGTTTTTAAAATTATAGTCACTTATTGAACGTACATTATATACTAATTATCAATTAAAATTAATTATGCTATAAATATATATATATATATAATAATTAGTAATTATAATTATGTGTTGAATTAAACAAATTAAATAAGTTAATGTAATTGTATTTTAATTAAATTAAATTAATATTAATGTTAATTTTGTAATTAATATAAAATAACGGATATATAGAACTGTTAGCTATTATAAGGAGAGAAAAATAATTTTAGTTATAAAAGTATTATAGAAATAATAATACAATTTATTAATTATTATAATTACATTAAATAGTTTGGGATAAGACATGACAAACAGCAAACAGCGGACCGATAGTGAAACCAATGATTGTATGTTTTGTCGACAATTTCTCAATGAATGACATCAGAGATAACTTTAGCCGAGTATTGCTTATTGTATTGATTTGTATTGATATCAATGTATTTGTCGATAAATGTATAGATTTTGAGACCATTGATGCCAAATATGATATAATAAATATACCAAACCAGGTATAAAATATGCCTGAAATGTATATATATATTAGTAATGAATTAACTTTAATAAATAAAAATGCTGACAACATTAAGCGGTAATAAAAATACAATTATTGTAAAATATATTTTTCGCCAAAATTTGTTAAATAAATTAATTTGCAAACAAATAATATTATGTTCATTAATAATTTGGTTAATCAATATTTTTTGTTTTAATATTTTTGACGGTTTATTAAATTTACTAATTAATTGATTCAATAGCTGACATCTTAATTGAAAATATTGACAAATAATATAAAAATAAGACATTGATGTCAATACAGTTAATAAATTATAATAAATGTTTTGTACTAATAATACTAAACAGGGTATGGATAGTATAAATGTTGATAATGTATAAAATTTCAAACCAATCAATAAAAATGACATCAAAACCAAGATTACTACAAATACAGTAAAATTAATAATAAATTTACAGCAATTATTAATATATAGTAATATATAATTTATATACCTGTCATATTAGTAAATACATAAACTATTATATTAACAATAATTATTTTAGATTTTAGTTGATATATAATTTTTATTTGTTTTTTGCTAAAATTTAATTCATAATAATTTTCATTATTTTTGATTATATAAAACAACTTTTTCCAATAATAATTACTAATTGTTTTAGTATTCAATTTAGTAAATAATATTCTTAAACAATGTCCACAACAAATACCAAATATAAATATAAGTAAATTAAATTGTTTAATACCAGCGATAAATATAGTAAAATCAAATAATAACATAAGTTGATTGTGATTATAACTGATAAATAATATTGATAATAATTTTATAATATTAATAAAATTAATAAGTATGCTTAGATTATTTAAATATGTATTTGAATTGTCTATTAAATGAAAATAATTATACATTTTAATACAATTATAAATTTATATAATTTATGCCTAAAAAACAGTTACAGTAATTTTGGATGAAGATAATAATTTTTATATTTTATAAATGTTATACACACAATAAATACAGTATAATATGATATATTTGTTGTATTATTAATTTATTTGTTTTAAAAAAGTTATTTATATTGGACTAACAATTTAATTATAATATCTAATAATATCTAATAATTACTATTTTGACCTAATATTATATTTACCTTAATTATAATTGACGTAATTAACGGTATTTAACAGAATCAATCATAATTAACGCAATAATAAACTATTATTTTTTTGTTATTGATTTCTATTAAATATTAATAAAATATAAAATACTATAAATATTTACTGTAAATAATTAGTAATATTGTATTTAAAATTACAGTCACTTATTGAATGTATAGTATGTATATGTATATGTAAAGTAGTGCTACTAATTATAAAAATAAAATTTAATTATGCTTTATATATATATTAATACAGTATATATATATAATTAATAATTATAAGTATGCGTTCAATTAAACTAAACAAATGATTTAATCAATAAATAAGTTATTTAATTAATCTTAAAGTTAATTTTGTAATTAATATGAAATAACGAATATATAGAATTGTTACCTAAATAAAAAAATATTGAATAATATTAAATATTATATTAAAAAATAGTACAATAATTTAATTATTATAATTACATAAAATAATTTGGGAAATGTCATGACAAACATCGGTCCGATAGTGAAACCAATGATTGTATGCTTTGCCGACAATTTATCAATGAATGACATCAGAGATAACTTGACACTAGTTTTGCTAATTGTTTTGATTTGTATTGATATTAATGTATTTTTAGACAATGTAATAGATTTTGTGACCATTGATGCCAAATATGATATAATAAATATACCAAACCAGGTATAAAATATACATAATATATATGCAAATTGTAGTAATGAATTAACTTTAGTAAATAAAAATGCTGACAACATTAATAAGTTAAGCGGTAATAAAAATATAATTATTGTAAAATATATTTTACGCCAAAATTTGTTAAATAAATTAATTTGCAAACAAATAATATTATGTTCATTAATAATTTTGTTAATCAATATTTTTTGTTTTAATATTTTTGACGGTTTATTAAATTTACTAATTAATTGATTCAATACCTGACATCTTAATTGAAAATATTGACAAATAATATAAAAATAAGACATTGATGTCAATACAGTTAATAAATTATAATAATCGCTTTGTACTAATAATACTAAACAGGGTATGGATAGTATAAATGTTGATAATGTATAAAATTTCAAACCAATCAATAAATATAACATTAAAGCCAAGATTACTACAAATACAGTAAAATTAATAATAAATTTACAACAATTATTTGTATATTATTAGTATATTAATAATATATAATTTATATACCTGTAATGTTAGTAAATACATAAACTATTTTATTATAAATATTTAGTTTAGATTTTAGTTGATATATAATTTTTATTTGTCTTTTACTAATATTTAATTCATAATAATTTTCATTATTTTCGATTATATAAAACAATTTTTTCCAATAATTATTAGTTGTTTTAGTTTTCAATTTAGTAAACAATAGTCTTAAACAATGTCCACAACTAATACCAATTATAAATATAATTAAATTTAATTGCTTAATACCACCGATAAATATAGTAAAATCAAATAATAACATAAGTTGATTGTGATTATAATTGATAAATAATATTGATAATAATTTTATAATATTAATAAAATTAATAAGTATGTTTAGATTATTTAAATATATATTTGAATTGTCTATTAAATGAAAATAATTATACATATTAATACAATTATAAATTTATATAATTTATGCCTAAAAACAGTTACATTAATTTTGTATGAAGATTTATATACAATTTAAATGTAAAACACACAATAAATATGATATATTTTTAGATTATTAATTTATTTGTTTAAAAAATTTCTTTAAATTTAATTAACTATTTAATTATAATATCTAATAAATGAAAATAATTACTATTTTGACCTAATATTATATTTCACTTAATTATACTTAACTTAATTAATGATAATTAATGCAATTATTAACTATTTTTTGTTGTTGATTCCTATTAAATAAACATATTAAATTACAGTCACTTATTGAATGTATAGTATATACTGTAAAGTAGTGCTACTAATTATAAAAATAAAATTTAATTATGCTTTATGTATATTAATACAGTATATATATATAATTAATAATTATAAGTATGCGTTCAATTAAACTAAACAAATGATTTAATGAATAAATAAGTTATTTAATTAATCTTAAAGTTAATTTTGTAATTAATATAAAATAACGAATATATAGAACTGTTAGCTATTATAAGGAGAGAAAAATAATTTTAATTATAAATAATAATACAATATATTAATCATTATAATTACATTAAATAGTTTGGGATAAGACATGACAAACAGCGGACCGATAGTGAAACCAATGATTGTGTGTTTTGACGATAATTTCTCAATGAATGACATCATAGATAACTTTAGCCGAGTATTGCTTATTGTATTGATTTGTATTGATATCAATGTATTTGTCGATAAATGTATAGATTTTGAGACCATTGATGCCAAATATGATTTAATAAATATACCAAACCAGGTATAAAATATGCCTGAAATGTATATATATTTTAATAATATATTAACTTTGATAAATAAAAATGTTGACAACATTAACAAATTAGACGGTAATAAAAATATAATTATTGTAAAATATATTTTGCGCCAAAATTTGTTAAATAAATTAATTTGCAAACAAATAATATTATGTTCATTAATAATTTGGTTAATCAATACTTTTTGTTTAAATATTTTTGACGGTTTATTAAATTTACTAATTAATTGATTCAATAGACGACATCTTAATTGAAAATATTGACAAACAATATAAAAATAAGACATTGATGTCAATACATTTAATAGATTATAATAAATGTTTTGTAATAATAATACTAAACAGGGTATGGATAGTATAAATGTTGATAATGTATAAAATTTCAAAACAATCAATAAATATAACACCAAAACCATAACCACTATTAATAAATAAAAATATAATAAATAATAATTTAAAATATTGTTTTGATTTTTTTAATTATTATTACCTGTTATTTTAATCAATACATTAACTA